GCAGGTGAGAAACCGTTTTACTTTCATCTCATTCTTCTTGCTTTTTCTAAGTTTCTCATCTCTTCTCTCGGGTGAATTTTGATTCGGAAGAAGGTGAAGCACTTCCATCTTCTTCCTCTAGCAACACCGTCACCGGAGTAGAGCAAGATCAACCGAGTGAAAATCATATTAGCGACGGTGGGAATCTTGATTTAGAAACATTTCGATCCTCTTCCGATGCAATCCTCATGCTCCCAACTGGTGATATACCGTTTTACATCTTCTCTTTGTTTTGCTTTTTTTAAGTTTCTCATCTTCTTCTCTCGGTGAATATTGATTCAGAAAGAAAAGCACTTCCATCTTCTTGCTCAAGCATAATCGGAAGCAACAGATTAGTAGAGCAGCAAGGTCAAGTAGAGCAGCAGCAAGCTCGAGTAGAGCACAATTTCTTGACATGTTTTGATTCTGACAACATCTCCTTGAGATGTTTTGATTCTGTTGAAAGTTCTGGCCAGAGAATGAATCAAATAAAGAGGGATTTGGGCTTGAGAGATTGTGACGATGGCTCTAAAGGTACAGAGTATGTTTTTCTTATTTACGGATTTTATACCAGGCGGTAACTTCTCCTCTCCTCTATGACAGATATAGATTTCAGTGTCTATATGACCATACCTCCTCGTCTTCTAAAGCAAAGAGTTCTTATGCCCGGAACACAAGAACAAGAAGTTGTTGTGCCCGGAACACAAGAACAAGAAGCGGTAACACAAGAACAAGAAGCGGTAACACAAGAACAAGAAGTTTTGCCGGTAAAAGTATACCTTCCTAAGAAGAAGAAGAAGCAGCCCAAGAAAGGTCGGGAACCGTTTCAAAAGTTAGACTGGTCTTTAGTCACTGTTCCTGACAACAACACAACTCCTTCTGTAAGTTTCTTTCTTTCTCGTACTTTGGTTTTCAACTCTATGTGACTGTGTCTAATGCCAACTGTGAAACAGTCTCGAACTGTGGATGGAGGAGCAGATAAAGTCTCAGCTTCAAAGGATCGACATGTTGAACTTTCCACTTTGGTATGTTTGTCTTTTCTCAGTTTACTGAATAGTGATTTTTGGTTTTTTTGGTTTTGGTGTCTAATCCAATTCTGGAACAGTCTCAAACTGTGGATGGAGGAGACTCTGCCAACTCATCTTCAAATGATAACTCAGTTTGCACCTCTAACAACAACACAACTCCTTCTGTTTCTTTCTTTCTCGTACTTTGGTTTTCAACTCTATGTGACTGTGTCTAATGCCAACTGTGAAACAGTCTCGATCTGTGGATGAGGAGCAGATAAAGTCTCAGCTTCAAAGGATCGACATGTTGAACTTTCCACTTTGGTATGTTTGTCTTTTCTCAGTTTACTGAATAGTGATTTTTGGTTTTTTTGGTTTTGGTGTCTAATCCAATTCTGGAACAGTCTCAAACTGTGGATGGAGGAGACTCTGCCAACTCATCTTCAAATGATAACTCAGTTTGCACCTCTAACAACAACACAACTCCTTCTGTTTCTTTCTTTCTCGTACTTTGGTTTTCAACTCTATGTGACTGTGTCTAATGCCAACTGTGAAACAGTCTCGATCTGTGGATGGAGGAGCAGATAAAGTCTCAGCTTCAAAGGATCGACATGTTGAACTTTCCACTTTGGTATGTTTGTCTTTTCTCAGTTTACTGAATAGTGATTTTTGGTTTTTTTGGTTTTGGTGTCTAATCCAATTCTGGAACAGTCTCAAACTGTGGATGGAGGAGACTCTGCCAACTCATCTTCAAATGATAACTCAGTTTGCACCTCTAACAACAACACAACTCCTTCTGTTTCTTTCTTTCTCGTACTTTGGTTTTCAACTCTATGTGACTGTGTCTAATGCCAACTGTGAAACAGTCTCGATCTGTGGATGGAGGAGCAGATAAAGTCTCAGCTTCAAAGGATCGACATGTTGAACTTTCCACTTTGGTATGTTTGTCTTTTCTCAGTTTACTGAATAGTGATTTTTGGTTTTTTTGGTTTTGGTGTCTAATCCAATTCTGGAACAGTCTCAAACTGTGGATGGAGGAGACTCTGCCAACTCATCTTCAAATGATAACTCAGTTTGCACCTCTAACAACAACACAACTCCTTCTGTTTCTTTCTTTCTCGTACTTTGGTTTTCAACTCTATGTGACTGTGTCTAATGCCAACTGTGAAACAGTCTCGATCTGTGGATGGAGGAGCAGATAAAGTCTCAGCTTCAAAGGATCGACATGTTGAACTTTCCACTTTGGTATGTTTGTCTTTTCTCAGTTTACTGAATAGTGATTTTTGGTTTTTTTGGTTTTGGTGTCTAATCCAATTCTGGAACAGTCTCAAACTGTGGATGGAGGAGACTCTGCCAAATCATCTTCAAATGATAACTCAGTTTGCACCTCTAACAACAACACAACTCCTTCTGTAAGTTTCTTTCTTTCTCGTACTTTGGTTTTCAACTCAATGTGACTGTGTCTAATGCCAACTGTGAAACAGTCTCGAACTGTGGATGGAGGAGCAGATAAAGCCTCAGCTTCAAAGCCTCAGCTTCAAAAGATCGACCCAGTTACCACTTTGGTATGTTTGTCTTTCTCAATTTACTGAAATAGTGGTCTTTGGTTTTTTTGGTTTTGGTGTCTAATGCAACTCTGTAACAGTCTCAAACTGTGGATAAAGGAGCAGACAGAGCCTCAGCTGAACATCTAAAGAAATTGAACGTTTCACTTGAGGAATTAAAAAGACAACTAAAACAGCTTGAAGACATTTTGCCTAAAGGCTTTTGTAGAGAGGACGTGGAAGAGTTTCTTGAACGTACTCGTAAACTGCTTCGTGAAGACGTAGAAGCTACCCTTGATGATCCGAACTGCTGTGAGCAGCTGACAGTATCTTTCTGCAATACGGCTCTGGATGTGATGGCCGAGGTGAAGTCGGCTGTAAGAACTACTTATTCAAGGCAGCTGGAGTTTATCGCAAGGAAGGATAAGGAGGAGAAGAAAGCCAAGAAAGTCGAGGAGAATAAGAAGATTAAGAAATAAGCTGGTCTCTTCTTTTAGTGTGATCCCATTTCAAAACTTGAACCCAATAACCAATTACAAATTTCCTTACTCCATCACTTTTTTTTTTTTTTTAGTATGACTCTTATAAACACGCTTATGTAATATCTCTTGACTTGGAATTACAGACTTATAAACCCACAAGATACATGTCTCGTCCTCTTCTCTTCTTCTTCTTCTTCCTCTATCTTGTCTTGGTCGTCCCTTGTATCTCCCATGAAACAGGAGCAGACCACGACGACGATGAGGCTCCCCCTGTGAAGAGTAGTTCTGATCTCAAATCAAAATCCTTAATCTGTGTAAAAATTGGGTGCCTTGTCACCATCTTTGTCCTCATGTTCATAAGCGGAGTATCTCCTTATTTCTTGAAATGGAGTCAAGAGTTTTTGGTTCTTCGTACACAATTCGCCGGCGGAGTGTTTTGTTTCATGCGACCGCCTTGATGCATTTCCTTTCCGATGCTGACGAGACTTCTCGGGATTTGTTGACGGCGGAAGGAGAGTCGGAGCCGTCTCCGGCTTACCCATTTGCTTGCTGATTCTGTCATCGCTCATATCTACTCAAAGAAGGGACAAAGGGATTTGGAGCTTCAAGGTACCAAAAGTTTCAAACTTGTGAATCTCAATCGAGAATTAGAAACGGTTAGTTGGTGTTGAAAGTTTGGTGCTTTATATCTTGTTTCAGGAGAAGACAAATCGAATCAGACGTCAGCAACATTTTTGAGGAAGCCGAATGAAAAAAGATATTGTTGGTATATTTGATGGTGGTTTTGTAACTCTGACGTTGTCAGCTTCAGAGGTCTCTTTGTTCTCGTTGCTTTCTTCTTCTATCTATTGCAGTTTCAGTTTCTGGTCCCTTGAACAGTACTCGCTTTCCTCACCAAGTCCTGAAACCTTGGACCTATTGCCTAAAGTTTATTGAGAAACTTTTCTCTGAGGCTTCTGAGCTAGGTATGCTTTTCTTCTTAACCATTCTCAGAACCTGTATTGTTTAATTACTAAAATGCTATACTTTTTATTAAGCTTGCTTTGCGGAATCATTAGCTATACCTAGAATTGTGAATTTTACTTTCTATCTTTGTGTTACATTAAGCTTTCTGAAATCTGAATTCCCCAGTTCGACTTATATTTGAATTGTTCAGATATCCTGTGCGTTTATGTCCATGCTCGTGAATAGATTGCCTAGTTTTCACTAGGCCTTGTTAGTATTGTAAAACTTGAAAAACGGCTCTTTTTGTTTGGTTATGGTGAGGTTTTTTTAAACCTGCTGGAGCATCAGAGTGTTGATGAATATGAGTTTCCATGAAGTAGATAGTATCTCCAGTCTGAGTGTATATGCCTGTGTTGTTTCTGATCATAGTGTGCATTAAATGGGATGTCTCTGAAGATCTTTGGAATGACCCATTATCTATTACTTGTGTGTATTTTTGCCTTCCTTTGTGTTTGATATTTTTCTTACACTCAATTGAAATTGCAGAACTGCCACATCGGATTGTGCATGCTAAGTTTCATTCTGAAACCAGGAGACACCAACGCATGATATACATTCTCTACCTGACAATTCAAACTATCGACTTGATACAACTTGATCTTCCTGCTGGTTTTGGATGAAAATAAATTCATAGGTAACAGTGGTAAAACTCCCATTTCATTGTTGTTGTGGATTCCATTAAGCCCTAGCT